CGAACTCTATAAAAGAAGAATCTAGATAAGAAGAACCACAGAAGATGAACAAAGTATGAAGATCCAGAAGAACAATCGGAAGAAACTCGTTACTCAACGTCTGCGATATGGATTTTTTTTTTTACCGAAATGGACATCACCTCCAACCTAACTAGTAGTAAAGAAACTTTCATAGAACTTCCATAGTCTTCAATGAGTGCATCTGGAAATTATGTCGTCAGCCTTGCATAGTTTGCTACTACTGGCGATGGTATTTCTTCTACACATCATAGTTAATTAACTAACTCAGAGAAGAATAAATAAATAAATCCAGACCTACACGAAAGAAATAAAAAGTTACATCGCTCGAGTAAATGATTTGTCTGATTGTGTTAAAGATGTGACATGTAAAAACAAATTAACTTCAAGAGATATTGGTGAAATGTGTCAGATAGTGATAGATTACGCAGTTATAATAGTCTAAATTAATCTACAGCCGAGTTTTAATATAATTACTATACAGATTTAAAACCTCGAAATTACTTTATCTCGCTTCTTCAAAGACTAATCACTTTTTCTGTTCTTTAATCTTGCATTTGTTGGAAAAAAATAGTGATTTCGCGATGGACTCGGGGGGACTAATTTTACCTTCTCATATACATGGCTTTTATTTTTTTCCATCATGTATTTTTGCCTAGCTGAAACATTTCGGTAAAATTATATAATCTATTAAATCTATTTAAAACTACGGTTTGAGATATACATTGGCAAGTAATTGGCAAGTCTATTTCAATATTTGCATGGATAAAGGGAATGACGTTGTTTGATGCATTTCTAAGAACTGATTTTTTTTAAATATAAAAACACGTGAGTTTTGAATTAAATCAAAAGTCCCCTCTGTTTCTATATAAGATAATATTATAGCTAAACATTTAATTCTAGGAACGCCATCTATTATTGTACAGGAAAATGATCTATCTTCCCAGTATCGATTTCTCATTTCTTATACCAGAAAATAGGTTTATTGAATTATTTTGGTAAAACGTTTTTGAAAGTCCACTCAACAGCAATTTTCAGACGATTATATTTGGGAATAATGGCGACTTGAAGACAAATGAATACATCTCGTTTGAAAGAATCACAAAAACTTGATTCTCAACACAATCAATTTATCGTCGATACACGTTTTTCATTTCACTTTCGATGCTCTTCATTGAAAATATTTGTTCGATAGATTCGTTGATGACTATTGTCCGGAGTCTTGAGGAGACCAAAAGCATGTTCAACTTCAACAAGTACAGTGTAGCCAAGGTGATAAGGTTCATAAAGTGCCTTAAAGTATGGCATCCTTGCATATAGCATAATCAAAAGCAACTTTATTAAACGTTCGTTAATAATCTATCTTTAGAGTAACAACGTAACTAGGATTGTTTCAATTGCAAAAATTAAATTGTCTCAAAGTTTGAATGTATCAATATCACCAACAACCAATTGTATCTGAAAGGTGAACATCCTCTCAATTCATGTTGAGTAATTCTAAAATTGGCATTCAGGTAACCACCAAGAGAGAAGTGTAAAACAAAAATGTTACATGAAACACATCTTCTTTGCTTTTGGTATGTAACATCTTTCGTGTTTTTCGCACATCGAGAGGCAACTTAGGGATGGAGGTGAAGTTTCTTGAAATAATATATTTAAACTCTTGTCAACTTATCGTAGTTTAGTTCAGAATAGGAATTTGATAGGTCCCAAATAATCAAAGGCTAATGTGTTTTAAATTGAAAATGGTTTATCGCTAAGATATATCAAACTGAATATAAGGAAGTCCTGCAGTAATAAAATTTCACTGGTAATGTAGTTTTCTATATTTGTCGAAAACACTCTTTTCGCTTGATATTAAGGTAATGCTAATGCAATGACTAATGAAGGCCTTAGTAATATTAATCTTCAATTAAATTGTCTCAAATACTGGTATAAACATATGTTGCCTGAGGTTGAAAACCTTCTTAATGTAATTTTTCTTGACAAAAGATCATACAAATGTCCTACAGAATTATTTTACCTATATCATAGACATTTTCCTGGTTCTTAATGCGGGTTCTGAAAATTTATGATCTCTCAGCACAGGTTGATAACAATGCAAATGATGTAGGTCGAAAGGGCAAATATTCACGCGTCGCATGAACAAAACAACATGACATCCTTTTAAAAATTCAGTTGAAATTTACGAATAAGGGCATAAAAATGTCACCATATTGTTCCCAAGGGACTCTTTTTTGTTTTATGTTATTGGAAAGAAAGTAGGATAGCCTGTCAGACAAGGTAATATACACCCACTGGCAGTCTTTATTTTGAATACAAATATTTGGCAGTACAGTAACAATCAATTCTGTATGATATATTCACCCTTCAGTCATACACTTCTTTTGTACTTTTTGGGGCGATACCGAATAATATAATTTGTCAAAAATCGTGCTTTATACTGTTTACTAGTTAAAAATTGAAAGCTTTTTCAAAACAAAGTCATTAACTCCTATAGAACATTTTCGATTCTTCTGATTATCAATAGAGCTCATCTTTAGGTGGTAAGAAACACTCACACCAAATTTAGTCAAAATCCGTCAATAATTGAGTCTTCTAGTGTTTGCGAGCATTTCACGAACAAGGGCAATAACTCATATTAAATATTGATCGATTTTTTCTGATTTTTAACAGGATTCATCCTTGGGTGATTACAAACACTCATACCAAGTTTCGTCGAAATCAGTCAAGAATTGTGCCTCCTAAAGTGTTTACGACCAATTGTGGACGGACCGGCGGACCGACGGACATGGGTGACGACAATATACGCTCCTCATTGGCTCATTTCTTGTGGGCGTATAAAAAATATGCGTCTATGGATAGCTGTATGATAAATATAATCTTTTACTTCTGCTTATTACATACGAAATTTATGAAATGTGTTGCCAGATTAAATATAAAATCAGGCAACGCATTTAAAATCTGCTTTTTCTAAGTAACTCGTTCAAGATCTGAATGTTTGAATCATACAAGTATATTAAATACGCCAGATATTAATAACTTAAGTGGACTGGGCCAGAAAAGCAATCTTCTGTTGATAAAACCAGAAGCGTCCATTTCATGATAGACTACACAAAATTGTTAATATAGTTTTACCTCTTGGGACCTAGTATATTAAAACAGACGTGGCTACAGAGAAAGACTGTTGTAAGAGCGGCCAAATTGCTACAAACTGTCAACAGTACCGAAATTCCGAAATGCAATCTTTGGAAGTATTTGTTGTTTCAGGTTCCACAAATTGTGAATCACTTGTTTCTATCAACTTCTGATAAAAAGCAGGCCAGTTTCTCTCCAATCTTTATCTTAATGGAATTACCCTAGATTGTACTCCTCACTTAAATCGACAATATACTGACATTTTATTTTCATTTTTCTTCTGTTTTGTAATAAAACCAATCGACTTCTTATGCTTAATAGAATTAAATACGGATAATTAAACAACTTTGAAAATAAATCGAGGATTATTTAGTGATACTCGTTTGTCATGAGAATAACTAGAAGGAAACGTAGCAGTTCAACGAATAGAGCTCTCTCATTGTCATCAAGTTCTTTGGTGAGCATGGAATCCCATCGCTGGTTAAGTAGGCTCATGGAAAATGTGTCTTATATTGCATGCAGACTGTAAAGACAGTATGTCCCTATCACACATTACGGATTAAGGCAAGCGTATACCCAGCGTATGAAAAATTTGTCGAATTCGTTCGTCGAATATGTGCAAGAATTTGAACAACTTTGAAACATGCTGGTATACGTCTTAATAAAAGGAGAACGAACAAAGTTATGTGTAACCTATGAGTAACGTGCTTTGAACCTATATGTCGAACTTATTTCCATTGCAAGTTGGCGTATATGATTTTTTTTACAGTTTACTTATAATGGCGGATTTGCATCTACTTTTTATTTTATTCCCCTAAACGCTGCACTATACGCCTATATACGGATAGATGCGTTTAGTATGTTATGTGGTAGTCCCAGATGTATTCAAAGCCACTTACGTTGTACATGCGAGACGTATGAGTCACTATACGTAGTTATACGTCTAAGATTTTGAGCATGCATAGAAAATTTCGACAAACTCGGCGTAATTCGACGTATACCAGTGTGCTTCAGCGTGCTTACAACTTACACAAAACTTATCAATAAGTTATACGACTTATGCAAACGTATTCGCCAAACGTTGGTTTGTGCTAGCCAAACCGCCATGATGGTAACTCTACTGGTAACTTGTATATAACAATCGTTTGTATAAGTTATCTGAAAGATATCATTCTATATGGACTCACTAATTCATTTGCCATCTCTTCCCATGTTAAAACACGAAATTCAACCTTCTATAACTTTTTCCAGAAATCTCGTTGAAAGCTTTCCAATATGTCGAATGAAAGCCTGACCAATTCTCAATGTCTCCTAAAAAATTCATTATATGATGACCATGAAAATTTTGAGCTACTAAAATTGAAAGTAGACTACTACCGGTTATACTCATCCGCTAGAGTTTGGCACTTCACAAAACGACTATTTTTAGAATTAGCCTTCCGCCTTTAGGTCTCTCATCATCTAACCAAATCTGAAAGATAATGCAATTTCAGACATCAAATTCCAAATCTAGTCCAAATTTTACCCAAAAATAGGCAGGCGAAAACCCCAAAAGGGGGAGAGAAAGAAGATAGCCTGGACTACATTCCAAAAGGGGGAGAGAAAGAAGATAGCCTGGACTACATTCCTATACAATCATTTGCATAAAATGTTTTAGTGGAGTGAGTCCATATACACTACGTTAAGTATACGTGCTATTCGTTGTGAATTCGCTAAGTATACTCCAACATCCTTTTTTTTAAATAGGCACTTAAATTGTTCACTGTATGACCTTAATAAAAACACGGGGGATTAGATATTGTCATATAATTTCAAACTGTTAAAAACTCTTTTCGTCTTTTCAGGAAATATTGGTATAATATTGCTTATTATCAAAAATAAAGCTCTGAGAACCAGAACGAACTTTTTTCTAGCCAACTTAGCTGTAGCAGACTTTTGTGTTGGAATATTCTGTGTCTTACCAAATCTGTCTACATTTTTATCTCCAGCATGGGTTTTAGGAAAGGTATGTTTGGTGATTTGTCGTACAGAAATACAGAGCATTTGATATAAAACATAATGATAAAAACGTGAAGATATAAGAATCCATGCATGCAATACTTCCCAGCCAAGCAAATGATTCCATTACAGTCCCTCCCCAGACACTTCAATTTAGGAGATCACTGTCCACTTATAACAAGTCTTAAAACTAGGTTAATTTATAAATATTCATAGCAACGTCTTTTGGATCTAAAACCTAATCATTTTCTTTAAAAACATGGCTTTCCATTAAATTAATATCTCTCTCATTTGCACTCACGTTTCGAATTTCATTATATTCGATTATGATTTTGCAAATCGAAATGGATCAAATTTTTTTTGTGGTCAGGGGATCATCACGCTCAGATGTTTATGGCAGTAAAAACGTCCAAAGAGGAATGTCCATGTGGAAATCTGGACGTATATTGCCGTCGCCCCTTTCCGTCAGTCCGTTGGTCCGTCAATATTTCTTGTGAACACAATAGAGACTACAGTTTTCAACTGATTTTAATGAAACTTGTTGTGATCATTTATATTGATGAGATCTTGGTCAAGTTACAATTTGAAGATTTTTCTATGAAACATTTTTAAGCTATTGCCTTTGACTTAAAAATTTGATAATGAACACTTTTCATCTTACTTTAATAAAATGAAACAAGTTTAAAGATTTTTAACAGTTTTTAAGTTATTTTAGGAAAACGCGTCAAAATTTTATCATGAGCACAATAGAGATTAATTTTCGTCTGATTTTAATGAAATATGGTTTAATCATTTATATTGATAATGTCTTGGTCAAGATGAAATTTGACGATTTTCCGATGAGAGGTGTTTGAGTTAAAGCTCTTGACTTAGATAAAATGCTTCAAAATTAGTTCAGAAGCACAATATAGACTTAAAATTTGGTGTGATGATTTATGTTGATAAAAGAAATGAAATGAATGGAGTTTTACGTCTTTTTATTTATATTGATGACATCTTGGTCAAGTTTGAATTTTCGACAATTTCTCTTTAAACAATTTTTATGGTTTTCCCTCGAACTGTGTGATTTAATAATTTGATGTACTTGGGTTATTGATATTGATTTTTAAAAAATAAATAACTGGAATTAAATCATCGTATCACGAATACGGGTTTTGACATGGTATTTTTGAATGAAGAATGGGGGTGCGGTGTGGACACGATGGCAGTAAATATATATATCATTGAATTCTAACAAATAAAATTTCTTTAATGTTCACGAGAAAATTCGTACTTAAATCACTGAAGACTGTTTTAACATTTCTAACAGCTGCCAATTGGCGTATGTTACCTTACCTGGTAAACTATCTTTCTTCTTTGTTGTAGTTCAGATATATCATTATTTTTTTCTCATTATATATTTCAGGTAATGTGTAAGTTGTATTATTTTGTACAGGGAATGAGTTATACGGCATCCATATTATTATTGACAGTCATAGCAATAGAACGTTACATAGCCATTATGCATCCATTACGATCGCGTCATCTTTTTACCTTTGTGCGTCTACAAATTGCACAAGTGTGTATCTGGCTACTCGCTTGCTGTTACAATATTCCACACTTACTAGTGTTTGATACCGTGGACATTATAACCTCCAAAGGTGAACAAATGTCTTTTTGTTTTGTGAATTTGTCGGATAAAGATATGAGAACGTTATCAACTGTTAATTTTGTGTTATGGTACATCATACCGTTAGTTAGTATGATTATAATGTACACACGGATTTCTATAACGTTATGGAGAACTAGCCATTCTCAATCTGAAATACGTCCAACATTTGTTTTATACCAGAAAAATAGAAATGTTAAAGGCAGTCAAATGAAAAAATTGTTGTGTGTTAAAGTTCATGAGCCAACCGATGGTGATGATAACTATAAACATAATATGAAATTTGATATGTCCAATAGGGACACGTCGTCATCAGGAAGTCAGACAGAAACCATTCCAAGGATTTCTATTCACGATAAATATAGTGTAGACACGTTAGCGTCCACGGTGAAATATGACGACGAATCGTCTTACGATGGATATGGACATCGACGATCTTCGAGTAAAAGTGAAACAAATGAACTGCGAACATATCGTGATTTTGGTTCTGGAAACCTTACAACCTCAGTTGAATCTTTGTCAACAACTTGTGGAAACAGACTAACAGTTCCACGTGTTCGACCAGTACGTGTGAAATCCCGGGCAGGCGGTTTAACTGCCCGTAGGAAGGTCATAAGGCTGCTTATGATACTGTTAATTACCTTTGCCTTCTGTGTCCTGCCAAATCATCTACGAGTTTTATTACACTATTGGCACATTGACCCTCCCCAATCTGCGGGTATTGGACTCTTGCCACCTGTATCTTATCTTTTGTTGTATCTCAATAGTGCTTTAAATCCAGGTCTATATTGGGTGTTCTCTGAAAGTTTCAGGCGAAGCTTGCGCGAAACGTTTACGTGTCGCCGTCGTAAGAGACGCTAGACTAGTAAAGTACATACGTTGATACGGTGAACGAAAATTTAGCAGCAAAACTGCATCTATAATATGTTCGGACTTGTCCGAGGCAATGGAAGTCAATTCTTATTGGTGATTTATGAATGATCTAAACCATGAATTCAGTTACTCTAGTATCACGATCAAAATAATAATTTTAGATCTTGGGAAAGGTTCTATGTTGATAAAATCATGATATTGTGTTTTGGTCCACATACGTTACCACAGGGTTCGACTCAAATTTCGTACTTCACAAAATGATCAAATATTAAGTCGCAACCAAAAAGGAAATATTAATGAATCATTAGATCAGACATATATCAGTGATCGAACGTATGTCAGTATGGAACCCAATTGTATTGAGGCATTGCGTGTAGATATCATAGAATCAATGGCGAAATTGGGTTTAGTACAAGCAGTCATCGTTTGATTAGAATTTTGCTGTCTTTGACGACTCTCTTGGGTATTAAAATTCTTATTTTATTGGTAATTTTGCTAATAAATTTCCTGATGGTATCTAGACCTTCAATTAATGGGCTGGAATATCACCAGATTCACAGATTCGCGATGTTTGATAACTTCACTGCATGTATCTCTTATTCGAGAAACATATATATAGGATTGGAATCATAGCCAACTGGGACCATGCCTTTCAACAAAATATTTTTCAGGTCATAATAGTTTATATGATAGATTAGGTGATTTCGCTTTCACTCAAATTTCCTACGATTTTCCTAAGCATTCTATCATTATAATATGTTCTGTTGGTGCAAATTACATACAAAGTTGAATGTAAAATATTTTATGATTTTAAACGTTTGATCCTTTCTTCTGCTTACTCTGTAAAGGAGGTATTTAAACAGGTCAGTGGTACCTATTTGCCTATACAGTGCAAATTTTCTGTGTCTAAGTTGAATAATAGCTAACACAGTCTGCAGTCCAGTTCGGTTTTGTATGCAGACGGCTTGAAAGGTAAGACAATCTTGTAATCTTTTAGTAGGGTGCAAAATTAGGAAGTAGGCAATACTTTTTGCAATGCTCATATGAGTGATTTTTCGAGTATGTATGTAACATAACTGAAAATGTGTTCCGTACTTTGTTTTTGGCATTGATCTAGCCATGCTATGTAGAGGATTCGTTTAGATCAAAACATATATTTGGAATCAACATACGAAATTCAAGCAGTAATAAATGTTCAGGTGCTTATAAATATATGTATATTATGTTGTATTGTCAAATCACTATCTATGTTATAAATAAAATCTTACCAGATGCATATAAACAGTTTTTAACAGAAAAGGAATGGACATTCTGCAAGGTCAAAACTTTTTATTTATTTGACCAAAATGCACATCAAGAAATAAAGAGTTTGTTCCCTTCAATGCAAGAGTGTAAGTTTCGAAATCTGTAAATGTATTTGATCTTCTTAAAGATTTGGAAGGTCATAATCGCAAAACATCTTTTTTAATGATTTCGTGTGATCTGGATATCAAAATAATGCAAGTCCGTAGATAGTTGTTTGTCAAGATCGATAATTCAGAGGAAGGAGAGAGAGATGGTTCTATTCAACAAACAACATCAATAAATAATTAGATATCGTTTAGATATGACAGTTTGTCCGATTAGGAAAGTGCCTTTTTAAATCGGGTGTGCTGCTTTCCGGAACTTTTTAAAACACTTACGTTTTGCATTTAATTGTCATGTTTTTTTTTTTTAACTTTTAAACTTTTCAATCAAATCAAAACAAAGAACAATTTATTAATATCAGAACAAAATAATACTTGTTTGTAACATTGTTGTTGCAAGTTATAGCACATGTCGAACAAGATTTCAAAGTTCAAGGGAAATAACTCTAAACGAAAACTTTCAAAAACCCTCACAGTACTTTTCACCTTTTGTGTTTAGCGATGCTAATAAATTCAGAACTATTAATGACGCTCTTGTAGAATGTGAAGTTATATTTGCAATGTGTGAGAGTTTGGCATGTCATCATTTACATTGCATGAAGTTATTTCAGCATTTAGTCCTACTGAATCCATTCACAACTGAATCTTATCTATCAATGCTGATCGAAATTATTGCTTTCCCATGAAAAGAGTTATATAAACATTCTGGAAAAATAACAAAAGTACAAATAACAGTAAAAACTATACAAAAAATGTTGGATTGAGCAAAAATTAAACTTTAAATTGTTTTCATAATGTTAACTGAAATAAGGGAAATAACTTTGTGAGTAATTTTTGACTGGTAGTAAGCCAAGGCTACATGGAAGGCAACTTTCTTTGAATCGTACGACTTACATGGATATTTTGGAGTTATTGACGGACTGTTATGTTCGTGTCCGCAATCGAGTTAGAAGAATAATTGATTAGCAACATCTTATTTACAAAAGAACGTCAAAGTCATTTAAAGTCTTGTATCCATAGCGTTGTGGAGCTCTGGAAGTTGCTACGTCTTTTCCACTCAATTTATTGCCAACCAGATACTCCTTGCCCAGGACTTTTTGTGACCATGCTAAGACTTTATCCATCATTGGTGTATCCACTCCTGCTATTTCACTAATACCTTTGAGAACCACTAGTCCGAAAGGGACATCTTCGGACAAATATCGGAATTTAAAGTCAGGAACGAACTTGCCATCTTCCGTTTCTTTCATAGGATGGACTAAACCATTATACGCGGAATTGGTTCTCAACGACGTTAGAAGAGAGCTTTTGTCAGCGATTTCATCTTTATAAATAAGTTTAAACCAATCAAAAATATGGGTAACCTCACTGATATCTACATCAGGTTTCTTGGCTTTAATGGCTTTGGCTGTAGCAATCAATTCATCAGAAATACCAGACATCAGATCAGCTGCCTCTTCAGTAAGACCATTATAGAATAATGGTTTCTGATCCATTGGTTTACCGTCCCAATAATTCCATATCCCATACATTATTGGTGGATGCATGATAGACTTGGTACTCAATGTTGGCTCCAAGAAATTTTTATAATTTTTTAATACTGGTTTTGGTCCGAGAAGGTATTGAAATGAAGCGAAAGGTTCTTTAATGTTGCTTGAACCAGGGATAATGACGCCATCAAGAAATTCTTTAGTACTGAGGACAGTTACAGCTTTACCGAACTGACTGATTCTAGCCGCCCATGGCAGACCTTCCATAGCAATAACGCAGCACTTCGGGGCTATATCTTTTAAAATGTGGAAACATTGAAATTCGAATCCAGGCTGTCCAGGGCAACCCACTATGGTTGTGTTTGGTTTAACGTAAGGTGCGATTGCTTCAAAGTAACCTTCGTGAGCGAAAGCTGGGACAGCAAAGATAATGATTGATGCTCCATCACAAGCTTTTTTGGCATCATTTGTGATAAGATGTGGCTTGGATTTCACCTGAAATAAGAGAGAATAAAATCTCACATCTCATGTAAAAATTGAATGATGATTCTCATATAGTTCAATAGCGTTTCAGTCATATTTCCTGGTGCATTTAGAAAATATTTTTAACCCTAAATATACCAGCGAAAGTTGTTATTTGACTTGTTTTATAGTAAATCGTTATCAACTGTTATTCGAGTCTAAATTCTGATTATTTAACCTTTAAATTGGTTATCGTGCACGGAAATATTACTATTCTATTTTCAAACCTGTAACAATTTTCTACGCTGGAAATTATCACAAATAATGAGAAACTGGGGAGATTTCAATCAATCGAGCTTTAGATACGATCAGCGGGGGACCAATAGGTTTCATGGCCCCCCGACTACAATATCCACTCATTCTCAGCCAAATGAGATTACCACGCGATTATTCTTACCCTTACCCTACCTTTCTCATCGGATTAATGATAATATATTTTCAACGAATTCGAAGAGAGAAATCAGACCATGTACCCACCTTGGACATTGGACAACAAACTAGAGATGATAATTAAATGTATTTTTATTTCTCCATTCTATCAATGACGAAAACGTTAATGATTAAAAGCGGACAGAACTAATTAAAATTGTAAACTTGCATACCTCCCCATGGGTTCCATCTGGGTGATTAACAGTCAACACCATTTCATCATTTTCTAAAATCTTTGCCCATCTTTCTGCTTCATCTGAGAAGGTATCCAAGACTCGTATATCAACATTCTCGCGAGATGCTGCGAGACCGGACATAACATGGGCAGCATTTCCACCGCCACATACTACAGCTGTAAGTTTTTCTGGCATTGTGGTGATCTCTCTGAAAAAAACAGGATGAAATTATAATATATTAACCTTCAAAGGGGTCTCTTTACGTTGTATACGGATATACGTTTAATAACTAAACAGTGCAGTTGTACAATAGAGAAGTGGCAACTTTCTCGTCAATAACAAGAACCACAAGGCGCATTGAAGAGCAATTTAAGATAGAATGACCTGAATATTGGCTTGGACCAAGAAAACCTCGTAGTGTCTTTTTAAAATCATTATGGGTAGTTGAACATACTGCTAGTCTTTTACTTTTTATATCAGTGCTAGCTCAAGTCTTCAACATGCTTCGAAAAATATTTTTCCCTGTACTTGGTATATTGAACTTGAGTAACTTATGTATATTAACAAGAGGAAGGCTGCTGGAAGAAAACACTCTTTACGTCAAAAATATGCATTATATAGAATGATATATTTAGTGTACGTTTGTATCGCTATCAACTATTTACAACCGTCTGGATTTAAGACTTCAAAGCTGATTATATCATCATCATTATAGTGTGCTTGATATAAATCTCAGTCTAACTTTTTAAAAAGATATTTGGTTCTGGCACCGTCTCAATTCAACAGTCAATAGCATCGCATGCGCATTACAACGCGTAGAAATATTCAAGGTATTTTTCGTAGCTGTGCATGCGTACAGGGAACACTTATACTTATGTATTTAGAGATTCAGATATTCCGCCCGATGTCAGTGGTTCTTGATTAACCTTGATTAGGTTATGACGTCCTTATTGCAAATACAAAATGAAATGAATGGAGTTTTACGCCCTATTTTTCTGCGCCATGTTGACTTATGAAGACGGGCAACGCCATGCAGGGTGCAATGAAGGAAATTTTGACAGGACAGCAGCATTAGCCTGTTCTTTATCGATTTCCAACTGTTGGGGGATCTCTAACGTGATCAGCCTGTAGCACACAAATAACATTCAAGTTTCTAGCTTGTCGTTACTGCCTCGTTGCAATTAGCTTTATCAATTAAGCACCCCTTTCATGAAATCTGATTATGTTCATTGTATTTGTATTTAGTATAGATAAAATAGTTAATGCTGAACATAATGCTGAGCTTAATTACGTTTCATTTTTCATCTACTGGTGAATCGATTTTTTAATCTTGAATATTGTTACTAACGTAGAAATAATTACCATTAATATACAAATAATATACGTTTTGATATAAATTTTGCAGTATTAATATCTTTAATCATGGAAAAAGGAGAAAAATGCATATTGTGATAGTTCACGCATGGTACTATTCGACGATTCAACAATCGGCTCATAGACCTATAATGAGTTTTAATTGAGCCAAGTTTTTATTCTATTGGACAAGTATACATTGTCAATCTGAAACGGGCTCAAAATAGGGCCACCTCACTTTAAATAAAGTGAAAAATCAGAAATCTTTATATCGGTGTCGTAGCTATAGCATTATGGCAATAAGTTCAATTGATTGACGTGAAATTAGGTATGTATGAAAAAATCATAAATACTCGCTAGAACATCAATAAAGCAGTTAGTTTTGTTCGGAATCGCGAATAATATCACCAATATACAATGATTATAAATGTACTCTAATCACAGAAACCTCTACTTGACAACACTAGTGGCGCCTGCATAATCTTGGATTATTATTTTTCGAATCCATCCTTTTATACAATTTGAAAGAGTAGTTCAATTTTGTCATTTAACATTGAAATAATACATATTTCCCAGAAATGAAATGTATTCATGGGCCTTTGAGTAATATAACATATAAATTGAAAATATAAAAACACTCATATTGCAGGTAACAGAAAGTATTGTAAAATCTTATTGTCTGGCACAATTCTATATATAGATCACATGTATATATTATCAGTTAATTACATTAGAAAATCTTCATAGTAAAACCATTAAGTACAATGTGACGGGGTGAAATACCGGTTATTGCTCATTCTCTCATAGGAAATAGTATACCAAGGTCAATTTCCGGTCACTGAATATACCACAAACGATGAGTACAGACACCTAATAATTTAATTACCGGCAACGTTTTGGAATTTACGACATTAGGAAATAAATTGCAATGAGCAAACAATATATCAAAAGAAATTGCATTAACAGTATGGCCATTACGTCATATATGAAACGTCCTCTTCGTTAATGAGAAAGAAAAAGGACTAGTTTTGTAGATCATGCTCAGACATTGGTCAGACAATATTGTAGGAGGCAAGTATGCAAGTAAGAAATTTCGGACTGGTGACTGGAACTTTTAGATCGTATCTATAAGAGAAAATATGAAGCTTCGGTCTTTTTGTTTTGTAGGTAATCGAGTTCTTTAATAGTCATCTAAAAAGTAGTATGGGGGTATTCAAAATTGTCATCCGTCTACCATGAACGGCCTTGACTTGTCAAAAATTAATTTATTGCGTACCTTGATATAGAGAATGAGTTCAAACATAGGTCAAGCATAACAGATTTACATGTATTGTCCAAAAATATGTAGTTTGTACTAGGACAAAGTAAAATTGGACTTTGTCCTAGGGGGATTTTAAATTCTCCTAGATTTTAGTTTCTACTGTGACATATGCATTTAAAAAGTTTGTATCAAAAGCCATGACTTTGACTAGCAATTCACTCTCACTGGAGCAGAAATACACTGCATAGTCAGCGCATTAAATCTCCGAATCTTTCATATCATTCTCTGACGCCACTTAAAATAACAAATGCGCCATTTTGGGGGGTTGATTTGAGTCTTGAATATAGTCTTCAGAAGTACTAGAACTGTACGAAAATCGCATAATTCCTTCAAAAATATCTTCAATAACTAGCTATTTCTAAAAAGAATTTCCGTTTCTTAGACTAAGGTAAGATTTGTAAAAAAAAAATGGCGCATCTGTCCTTTTAAATTGAGAAAAACAAACAAGCCTATCTCACAGTCATCAATATTTTTGTAAGAAATTTAAATGGATAGAAAATCAATTCTGTCTACTGCTGCATAAGTCGTAATGGCCAAGATTAAGTGTCGATACTTTAACGCCCATAAGTGTATATGCAATTTCTTCCAATGATTTATGTCAGAATATTTCTTAACATATAGGCTATGGAATTATATTAGGTCAATCTTCGGTCATATAATTATAGCTTTAATCGAGTGTAAATCAATTGGTATTAACATTCAATCATTCAATTGATCTGATGACCGAATCAGTAAAGTAACAGTAAAAAAGCGTGAAGATGATTTCATGGTATAACTCCCAAGAATTTATTCCTTTCTGGTATTAGAAAAGTCGTTCCAAGTTGATAAAGCCGGGAACCATACCCCAAAGGTGGAACGGTATTAATTATTATATATGATATATATCAACTAATAAAACTTTCTTTTGATACCACCTATCAAAGTAGCCTTAGTATGTACTGACATTGTTGTGTCTTTATGAATATAAATATAGCTTACTAACAGTAAAACTTATAACGAATAGCTAAATGTCACATGCATATTGAACTTGTTGTTTTTTCCTTAACAGTTAATATCACAATTATTGAGATAAATTCTTTTAAAATTAGAGAAAGTTTTATGGCTATTTGGAAGAGATTTTTTACCATTACGAAGAGCACATTTCGCTTAAGCTTCTTCTCTCAAAAAGACGTAACACGTCAATTATGGAGCATTATTTGGAAACAAAATCATTGAATATTGGATTTTTTCTGAAAGTTTTTCCATTTACGTATGAAATGTTACACAAAACTTCTATTCTATACTTGACAATATAGGCTAGAATAGAATATAGAATCAGGAACTATTCTTAACATCATAGATTCCTTTGTTATTTCTACAACTTGACATTGAATTGGCTAACACCATCAAAACTATAAATCAGATTTTATTTCCTCTAGTTTTATTCACGCCAAACAAATCGATAAGAAAGTCTGGAATAATAATGAATTATGTCACCAATAATCAGCCTAGAGTTGTCCAAATTGGTAGACAAGGATTGCAAACCATAGACCGAGAATGTTTCACTTCATCTCAACTACAAAATATTTAGGCCATGGTTCGCCATTTTCAAAGGTTGATTTGGATCTTGAATATCTGTAAATAATCTTTTCTGCAGAAATAAAACTACACAAAAATCGTAAAATCACTTCAAATATACCTCAAACTGGATATTTCACTTGCTATTTTTATATGTGGCGGAGTCTTAAAAAAAGACGAGTCGTCATTTCAATCTCGGGAGAATTCTAGACACATATATAGCTTTGAAGGCTGTAACTTTGACCGTGGGCTATTTCTAATTAGCTTAGCTAAAAAAGAAATCCTGTTTGTGAAAATAAGATATGATTGGTCGAACGGATGGCGAAACTGTCTTTCTACAGGTGTTTGATATCATATTACACCTTTAAAAAATAATAATAAATATCAGTCATTTTTCGTGAAAGAATTTGCACAAGGTAAGGGATCCTTATATTCAACCTCACCTTAGGATCAAAATCCAAATGGTAAGATGCAATTTTAAAGTATATAACATTTAAAGTATTAATCAATTCAGTTTCAAATATATAATTTAAAGCTGCATTTGTCAGAATGACCTTCACAAAGGATATAATCTAAAAGATGGTAAATTTCAAAAGACATCCCCCCACCCCTAAAAAAGCATAATTGAAGACGTCAGCACTGTGTTGTTTCAATGTCAAAGGTCATAACCGTGACCTTCATTCAAGGTTAAAACTGTGGGTTCAAGTGTTGGTAAAAAAAAAACAAAGTAAATGCCTTAACCAAACTCTATGCAACAAATTCTTAAAGTTTGGGAATCTAATTAGTAGTCATCATATTGAGTACAACGTGTGCCAAGTGATGTCTCAGATGAATTCGAGTATAGATATGGAATTCCATTTAAACAACTAAGTCATACGAAGTTACAGTTCACTAATATTAGACAATTGAAAGCGCTGAGAATGCCAGCAAAAGGGCACTTCAAATATGAGCACTATTAAAAGAAATACTGCGATGGGCCTTGATAGAGACACAGGAAATGCCCAATCTTCCACAACAACTAATGACAACCTCCCAATGGGTTTGGTATCTCGATATCCCTATCAGAGTGCACATATCCAACATTTAACTGGTATATCATAAATTTATTTTATTCTCAATATTAGGAAATTTAGATGTACAAGTCATTAGTTTCTATTGGAGTAGATTAGATACTGCTTTCAATATTTGCATAACAAAAATAGCAAATCTCTTATTCAAACTTTAATTATTTGTAATCTGCGGTAAATACAAACCAATGCTACATTGTCAATCTCATCGCAAGTTTGTAACATTATTTAACATAATCGTTATCACATCTATAATTTACTGAACAAATAGTATTCGCCTGCTGATCCTGCAGATGCTGTAACCCTTCCAGCCAGAATCATGGATGGGAACACAAAACAGCAACAGAACACCAAAGTTCACTTACCTGACAATTGATTCAAAATCTACAACTAGACAAACTACACAGACAGCTATCCTAACCGGTCTCTGTAAACGTGAGTGAACAACCAAAATACAAACAACCAGCAATTTATATTTGGCCTTCAGAACGACGCGTGAAGTATCCTTGTAGACCGACTATCTAACAGTACACTGGTTCTGTTGTGATTGAGTATGATATCTTCTGTCAGAAAAGGACTAACCTGTCAGAACCTAATACTATCTATTGATTTTAACAATGGACAGACACAGCTGATAAGCTTCGCAATTATAAGAAAATATAATTGTCTTCGCAAATGCGTTGAGATATTGAATTTTTTTTTTTAGAATAGAAGTATCAACCTGGAAACGGTACTGATTGTCTTACAATGACTTTAAGTGGAAAATAAAAAATAATTCTACAGTTTACATAATGATAAATAATAAAGTTAAGCCTACAATATAAAAATACACTTCCCTTTAAAAAATTCAACCAAAAACAACAAAAACAAATTTTAGAAGTGAAAATGTGTGTTCAAGATTATATTTTTATCATCGCAAAGATTTTCTAAACCAACAGTACTATTTTTTGAGACAAGGAACTTTCGAAGACAGTAGCCTACTTAAAATATATAAGAAGTGTCAAAGTCAAATACTAAAACGAATGATATAAACTTTCATAATTATTTTCTGGAAAATACTACACGTATTCATATGTAAGTCTACCCTGAAGAATTATTTCCATCCTTGTTTCAATTAACTATGATCATCTCATGATGCAGACCGACAATGCTATGCTCTGTGTAGTATGCCATGGGTGAAAAGTTTCTGCATTATTGTCTGAGCAAAGTAAAAATGCTTTTTGAATTTTTTGAATTTTTTATTAGAATTAGAATAGTAGCCTCAAAATAGTACTTTTAATCTTAAAATGAGTTTCTTTTCAATGTAAACTTACAAAAGAGCATATTTTTATCAACACAAAGACATTTTAAGACTATCAGTGTTGTTTTGAGGCTGATATTCCAATTCTCTTTAACAAAAAATCGAAAAAATTTAAAAAAACTTTTTAATTTGCCCAGACAATAGCTTATGTTTTCGAATTCCATTTATCCTGGGATCTTCAGTGACATAATCAAACATATTCCGTTAGTATGTCAGTTTGGAAAACAGCTTTCACTAAAAATCTTGAAGATAGAGTCACATTGGGTTTCATTTTTAAATTGGTTATTCTAAATAAAACAGTTAATTCGAAACTATATTTCGGTTTAATCCCTGAAACTTGCATTTTGTTGTAGAAAAGGAAAGTCATCAGAGACAGTAATAAAGGCGAGGAATGAAAGTGCTGTGATAAGGTTTAGTAGAATAAAACGTTATTGGTATTGGCTTTATCCCAGACAAAATTTATAATAGATTCCTGCATCTAAAGTTTGACGAAGATAACTGGGAACTTTCAAATATTGTGACTGAAGAATAATCTATAAATTATGGCAAACCTTCTGCGCGTAGGATTCTGAAACATAAATAACCAGTTCACCCTTGTTTGGTGTATTATCATAAATTGGGATCCATCGGCCTATTAAATGCCAAGCAGAAACTTCACAAAAAAGAAGGATAAAACTGAAAAAAGACAATTTGATACATACCCAACTATTGTGATCTTTTCATGCAGTTTGTATTATATCTGCCTGCACGCGTTTATGATTCCGACTCACAAGTGATTACAATTTAAGTGAGCTGTAATAATTTTACCCCGTGTAAGATCTACTAACAAAGTCAGAGTGACAATTCACATTTCAAAAGAATGCTAACTCATAGGATGACCCTAGTCCGAAATATCTGCTACTATTCCAGCCTCTAATGGGTATTTTGGGAGCCGCGGTGGCTCAGTGAGTTAGACGCTTGTTCGCTAACCTGAAGGTTCAGGCTTCAATCCCGGCATAGGTCGAGATCATACCTTTGGATTTTTCAACATGGTTTCCCCTTGTCAGCGATACAGGTAAGAGGGGCTGACATGGAAAACGCGTCTAGTCGTTCGGGTGGGACAATAAACCGAGGCCCCGTGTGCTACAGGCTGTGCACGTTAAAGATCCCTCGACAGTTGGATATCGAAAAGAGCAGGCTTATGCCGCTGTCCTGGCAAAATTTCCCTCATTGCATGGCGTTGCCGTCTTCATTAGCTCACATGGTGCAGAAAAGTAGTACGTAAAACACCATTCATTTCATTTCATTTTCTGGTGGGTATTTTGATAGTTGTCGGCTGGAGTAGAGTCAGAAAAAATAGGACCTGTTTAATGGGATTTTTTCCACACCTCCGAAGATGTGTTTTTTTAACACAATATTGAATTACCTTTACAATGACGTGAATGACTGTAAGTTAGTGCTGGGCATCTCCGTAACTTTCGTTTTGTTAGAATCACGTGACTCTGTGACCTTTGAACCAGAGACAAAAATAGTGTAAAAAGAAAATATATCGCCGTGTAATATTTTGTGCAATACCTGATAGAATATTCCAAGTTAAAGGTATACTACCTCTTACTCTCTCTGACTACATTGAGTCTGAATTGAATTTTTTCTCTCATTTCATAAATATTCAAAATAAAATTTGGGTCCATAGAAATATTTGGTTCAGTGATTATACATTTGAAAAATGAATAATCCGAGATGACGACCTCGTTTCACTGTTTGTAAATATAGTATAGTATAGAACATACTAAGCATGTCAACAATCATGTAATATTTGATTATTTTGTTATAAACTGATTAACATTGGTAGAACAAAGAAGACCTAGTATAGGTCGCCCAAGACGTTATGGAAATTGCATAATATTACAAATGAACTTATTCTGGTTCTTATAATATGCTTTATTAAGCTTATATCTTAACTTACTCTTCTTCTACCAATGTTAATCAGTTTATAACAAAATTATGGAAAGCCGGTGCGACATCAATGCCAATGCCAAATGACAATTCTTTATTGCGATTATTATTAGCCTATTAGCCAGGGAAACCAGTGATTATACATTTGAATACACTTCCCTCCCAGAAAATTCTCGTGCAAGTGACCTCCTTTTCGGACTGAAAATTACCCTCTGTAAAATCATGTTTACAAATATTAACTTTTGCAATGGTTAACATTTTCATCAACCCAAAGGCAATCTAAGAATCTCAGTAGTAATTTGTAATTGGTATTTCAATTCATATGAAAATGTGTAGTCAGACAGTAGGAAGGTGACCAAAAAACTGGTCAAATGAGTCTTTGTGCATCAATGGACATAACAATACAAGAGAACACCTTTATAGCCCAATAAATCCAGTTAAAATTCATCAAACTAAGTAATTATGAACATAGAAGCGTGGATATATCGTCTTGTATAGAGATTCTGTTCTTTAGTCTTGTCACCTGGTAAGTCCAACTGATGAATATATATACATGTATACACTTGTTGATCAAGTTAGATAATTTAGATTTTGATCTGCGTACAGAATGTTAAGTCAGTCTTTTTCGCACTATATTCACAAACAGTGAAACGAGGTCGTCATCTCGGATTATTCATTTTTTTTCCTGAAGCAGAAACAAGCATGTCAACAATCATGTAAAATTTGATTATTTTGTATGGAACGCCGGTGCGACAACAATTCTAAATGCTGAATGCCAAATGACAATTTTTTATTGTCTCCCCTTATTCTTCCTTTCCCGCCATATCATTATTATTAGCCTAGAAATTGACAACCTAGAATAGAACATCACTGTTTCTCTTGTGGGGAAACGTTTTATTCACCACAAATCCCCAAATGAGATGGAGGGAGGGGGCAATTGATTTCACCTACAGTCGCTATCCTCAATCTATAGTCACTATATACCAACCTACTATCATCTACAATCACTATCCTCTATCTATAGTCACTATATACCAACCTACTATCATCTACGAACACTATACTATATACATAGTCACTATACACCAACCATCATCTACAATCAATATCCTCTATCTATAGTAACTATACACTACTACTATCATCAACAGTAACTATCCTCTATCTATACACCTACCATCATCTACAATCAATATAGAGGATAGAGGATAGTGGCTGTAGATGATAGTAGGTCGGTGTATAGTGACTATATATATAGGATAGTTACTGTAGATGATAGTAGGTTGGTGTTTAGTGACTGTAGATATAGTATAGTGATTGTAGATGATGGTAGGTCGGTGTATAGTGACTATAGAAAGAGGATGGTGACTATAGATGATGGTAGGTAGGTGTATAGTGACTATAGATAGAAGATAGTGACTGTAGATGATAGTAAGTAGTTGCATAGTGAATATAGATAGAGGTTAATGACTGTAGATGATAGTAGTTAGGTGTATGGTTACTATAGATAGAGGATAGTGACTGTAGATGATAGTAGGTCGGTGTATAGTATAGGGACTATACATATAGGATAGTGACTGTAGATGATAGTAGGTAGGTGTATAGTGACTATAGATATAGGATAGTGACTGTAGATGATGGTAGGTGTATAGTGACTATGTATATAGGATAGTTACTGTTGATGATAGTAAGTTGGTGTATAGTGACTATACATTGAGGATAGAGACTAGATGATAGTAGGTTAGTATATAGTGACTATAAATAGAGGATAGTGACTGTAGATGATAGTAGGTTGGTGTATAGTGACTATATATAGAAGATAGTGACTGTATGATAGTAGGTTGGTGTATAGTGATTTTGTATCTAGGATAGTTACTTTAGATGATAATAGGTTATGTTTAGTGACCATAGATAGAGGATAGTGACTGTTGATGATAGTGGGTAGGTGTATGGTTACTTCAGTGACTGTAGATGATAGTAGGTCGGTGTATAGTGACTGCAGATAGAGGATGGTGACTGTAGATGATAGGTAAGTGTATGATCACTATAGATAGAGGATAGTGACTGTAAATCATAGTTGGTAGGCTTATAGTTACTATAGATAGAGGATAGTGATTGTCGATGATGGTAGGTAGGTGTATAGTGACTATAGATTGGGGATAGTGTTTGTAGATGATAGTGGGTAGGTGTATAGTGAATATAGATAGAGGATAGTGTTTCTAGATGATAGTAGTTTGGTGTATAGTGACTATAGATAGAGGATAGTGATTGTAGATGATAGTGGGTAAGTATATAGTGACTATAGATTGAGGATAGCGACTGTAGATGAAATCAAATGGTTTTAGCGTGGATTGTCGCAAGAGACAACTCCTCCCTCTCATTTCAAGTCTTGCCCCCAACCACCCCCATCATCACCACCACCCTCTGAATGAAAAAGTCTAGTTACGCCACTTCGTCCCCAACTATATCCAAAATTGAAAAACACTGTCATATCATAATATGAATTTATTTATCAAAATGAAACACAAAACATAGCACACAATCTAAGTAATAAGACTAGCTGTAGTTTACTCAAAACTTTCTTAATTGATAAATAAAATAAACTTAAGGTCACTTAATCAAAAGCTGTAGATTTATAGTTATAGTTTTGCCCATATTTCCCCCACAATTAATACAAAAATTAGGGATTTGTGGTGAATAAAAGGTTTCCCCACAAGAGAAACAGTGATGTTCTAGGTTGTCCATTACTAGGCTAATAATAATCGCAATAAAGAATTGTCATTTGGCATTGGCATTGATGTCGCATCGGCCTTCCATAATTTTTTTATAGGCCGAGGATATTCGCCACCCGGGTGGCAAACAATTATTCGCCACCCTCATTTTTTATTTGCCACCCGTTTTTAAAACTTTAATTTCTCTAGAGACTGACATTATTAGCTGTGAAGGCTATAGCGTTACATGCATTATAATGTTTTTTTATGTTCATTAGAAACGCTTTTTTGCAATTCCTTTCAGAAAAATGTACGAAAATAATTGATAATCGCTGTCCCATTGGATGGCTATTTATAGTCAACCGGTGTAAAGTCAATTTGGCCACCACTTTTTTGAATCACTTCTATGAAATTTAGTCTCGATATTCATGTCACCTACAAACCTCACGTGGCTCTGCATTTGTTTTTTTTAAGCCCGGAAGCGTTTTTTCTTGACATTTCCTGGCAAATTTAAGGATTTTTTATATAGTGTGTGGGAGATCCCACCTTTTGAAGATTTTTAGAATCGGATTCCCAAAAAGGCGAATTCCTGACATTCCCTATAGA